CATTCCTTTCCCCTACTCCTAAATCACACTTGAATCCTTCGACACGACCAGTGATGCCAATTCGAGCTCGCTGGTACCATGGGTACCGTAGTGGAGGGGATACCCACACAAGCGAAATCGCTGACGTCACATGTCCGTGTGGCTCGGCGAGCACACAGTGGGTATCTCCTCCACTACGGTACCCATGGTACTAGCAGCCAGCGAGCTCGAATTGGCATCACTGATTCTGATCATAAATCAGTTGAGAAGCAAGAAATCTGCTTCGAGTTTTGGCGAAAATGGTTTCAATCTTGGCTAAAATTTTAGGTGGCTTGCGCATGTGTGCGGTACCCCCTCCATTCATGCTGCTTGCTGCTTGCGTCCAGTGTTGCGATATGGGACCGGTTGTATGCGCATGTGCGGCTCTGCGCATGTGCAGTGATGGAGATCCAGTGCCGTTATATGTTATGTGTTGACCGTATGGCGGGACGTTTTGACATGAGAAGGTCTGGTGACTACAAATAAGGTAAGATTTATTTATTTACAAGCATGGAATCTACGGAGCCAGCAAGCTAAAAAACCAAGAAGTAAAAAATTTCAATCAATTTCAAAAAATTTAGAAATATTTTTAATGTAGCGGGGTAACGGTGCCTTGTTTAATTTGTATGAGACACTGTACTGACGCCGTATTGTCGCACATGCGCATACAACCGGTCCCATATCGCAACACTGCTTGCGTCTCAAATCTGGCCACACTGCCATAGACATAATGAAAGAAGGGAGAAAAAGGTGGAAATGTATTGAGGAAAATATTTCTAATCAATAATTAACTGTCAGTTATGCAAAGCGAGCAGTATCAATTTTAATGTACAGTCATATTTATTCTTTTTTGTGATGCATTTCTCAAATAATGTAATGTGTATTATGTATTCTATTATGGATTTATTTATTGTCAATGAGAGCAATAAGCAATAAAATAATTGCTCTCAAAAGCCATATGAGCTGAATTGTATATATTTTATGATTGACTGAATAATTGCATAAATGCAACAAAAATGGTTGAAATGGTAGAAGACATGGATAGTTTAGATGACAAACTGTTTGGTGATGCATTTAAGAGGAACTCATCCACGGAGAATAGCAAAAGACGAATTACATTTGCAGGTTCAATCTAATGTTGCCTAATATATATAATTTTATGTATTATCTAAGAGATACTTATAAATGTATTTAATAAAATATATTTTTTTATTCTTTTACAAATTATATATATATCTTATTTTTTATTTTACAGATGAAGATGATCCATTAACTGATTTGTTAGCTGAAAAAGAAGATTTTCCATCAAGTCAAAAAAATCCAATGCCAGTAAAAGATAAGCGAAATATAATAGATGATTTATTTAATAAGAAGGTTTCCAATGAATCATTAACAAAATCAAAATCTGATGAAAAAGAGAACAGCTTGATGTCTGCATTAAGTGCTACAGGATTTGATCAACCAAAAGCATCAGATGATAAAGCAAAAAAGTTATCCCTGATGCAAGATTTGTTTGGAAATACATTACACATGTCACCATCAAAAGAATCAAACATTAGTAAAAAGTCTGTTCAGTCAGAACAGGTTGCACAATATACAATGGAGGTTTCTAAGACACAATCACAACATTCGACATATGCACCAACAGCTTTAGGAACACGAGAATCTCGTAGAGGAAAGAGGACTTCAGAGATAATGAATGATCCTCTAGGATTATTTTCTTTGAGCACAACATCAAGTAAAACTGGACAAACTGTAAGTATATTGATATGTTTAAGTGATGATTTATAATACATTTGATTTATTTATTTATGCTTCATAATTTTTTTTGTTTTAAAGACACTAGAAAGACATGCAGTGTCTACAGATTCAAATAACGATAAATTAGAAACTAAAGATTTACCAGATTGGTTGGAACCTAAAAAGACACAAGAAGATAAAACTAGCAATTATACTCAAGAGAGAACAATGCCAACTGAAGAATTATTTAAACACAGAAGATCTGATTCCGATAAAATTATTCAAGATGTAAACGATATTATTGATATGCTAATACAGTAGTTTTCTTTTATTTGTAATTTTGTATTATATTACAGGTAACAAACATACAAGAGAATGAGACAAGAGTAACTGAATCACTGCCACATGAGAAGGAACGATTAAGAAAATTATCAGACAGTCAAAATATAGAAACTAATGAATCCGAAAAACGAAAAATTAAGGAAGATTATCCTGAAGTAAGTTCTAACGATGTTAAGGACAAAACAAATTTGTATATAATTATTTCTTATTACAATCAACATTTATATTTAATCTTTTATAGTCCAACACAATGGATGTTTTAATTAATTCCGATATAAATAAAAATTCAGGAAAAGCACAAGATAATTTAATTAGCAAAAACACAAGCTATGAAAATGTAATCCAGAAGCTGGAATTAGAAAAGTCTCATCTGACAGTAACAATACATAGTTTAAACGAAAAATATGAAAATGAAATAATGATTCTAGACGAATCATATAAGTAAGTAGAATCATGTTTATAAATATAAATATTGCTAAACAACTTCTTTTCAAAAATTATCCAACTTTTCTTAGACGGCAAATAGGATTCCTGCAAGAGAGAACAGATACATTGGAGAAAAGAATGCAACAAGAACTTGAATGTTTAGAAACAGATTATGAAGCAAAGATTGAAAAATTAAAGAACGAAAAAATGAAAATTGAAACATCTTACAAGGAAGAAATACAGAATTTAAAGGTATACAATTTTTCGGTTAATTATCATTATTGATTATATTTACTGCAGTTAATTTTAGCTTTAATTATCATTAATTATTTGATTTGATAGAAGGAACATGCGCAAAGTATAGAAGAAATTTATGAACGCCATTCTCAAAATATAAGACTGCTGCAGAAAGAACATTTTGATACTATAGAGAATATATTAAAAATGAGAGAAATTGAGAATTTAGCTATGACAACTATAGCGACTCACAAGACTGACTTGCAGAATTTGTTACAAAAAGCTAATTTTATTATAGAGAATATAAAAAATGTGCAAGAAAAGACTGACCAAAGAGATGACCAAAGCGTAAAGTTAAGAGAGTACTACTTAAAGAATCAGGAAGAAGATATGCAAAGTATATATTAAACAATGTTTGAGATGCATTTAGATAAGTAGTTTGATAATTTTAAGTAATTTGTATTTTTTTCTTTTATATAATATTTCTGTAGTACGAAATATGGAAATAAAGAAACAACAGGAGCTACTGGAACAAGAACGTGACAAAATGATGAAAGTAGCAAATAGATTGGATTCGCACGTTTCGCAATTAGTGCTTGATTTAGAAAAAAAAAGTACTTTGCTCAACGAGGCGCTGGAAACGTTAAAAAGAAGAGAAGAATTTTTGTCACACGAAAGAGAAGCATTTGAAGAAAAAGTACGATGGGAACGTAATCATTTACAGGTACTTATCTGGTATAATTTAATATTTTAATATATTGACATGTATATTTAAAATCTTATCTATCATATATACATGGTATTACAAGGCTCTAAAAGAATCTTGGTTAAATGAACAAGAGAGGCAACTGAAGGCTTTAACAAAGGAAAAAGAGATTATTGCGGCTAAAAAAAGGCAATATGAAGTTTTAAGGACAATAAAAACTAATACGGATAATATTACGAAGATAGAGGTAAATTAATGTATAATTTATGATGTGTATATATATATTAAACTATAAAAAATAAAATATTTTTTCAGTCAGCTGCTGCTATAAAAACAGCTCAAGATGCTACTTTACTCACAAATCAGGAACGATTAAAATGGCAAGAAAAACTCAAATATCTTGAAGCGCAGCAACAGGCTTTACAGAAAAAAGAATACCGGCTTTTAACACATGCTCAAGATCTCGAAAACTTTACACAGGTAATGATTAATTACAGCATATATTTGATATATAATGGCAACATAATTATATTATAATTACAAACAATTTAATAATTATATAGATAGCATTCACGAAAAATGAGGAAGCTATTAAAGCACTAAAAGAAGCACGCCATATCGAAAACGAGCATAAAGTTAAATTTGATCCTCACTTTGGCATACTTGAAAAGTTTAATTCAGCAAGGTAAATGAGATAATGAATAAAATTTAATATATGATATTTAGATACTTTTAAATTTTTTTTAGTGAAAAGTTGGCTTTGACAAATGCTCAAGTGGCAAAATTGAAAAGAACTACGAATGCTCCATATAATTATGCAGACAAGCGAACATTATCCAATCAACAACACGCATTTCAAGTTGCTACTCATTTTACAGTAAGAAAAAAATTATTGTAAAACAGTTTTTAATCAATTTTTTATAACCTTTTTATATCACAAAAGTATATATAATTGTTTCAGGAGGTTGTAGATCCTCAATTGGTAATGTTGAAATTGAACCTGGATGACCAATTGGATAACGTTCAATATATGACTGCCATGAAACTTTGATACAACGTTAGATATATATTAACATCAATCAATGCATATAAAAATATCAGTATAATAAATAGACTATTACATACTTCTTATATCTAAAAACGTATAAAAATTGTTTAATATTTTATGTATTTTGAATAACAGACAATAAACATTGACACTTATTTGATAGTTGCTCCACTCATGTCTATTAGTAGTATTATATTGGACATAATATTGGCATACTTATTTGTTAGTTGATCCACGTATGTCTGTCTCACAGTATGTGTTATAATTCATAGTATTTTCATCTGAAAATAATAATAAATTATTACTTTAATAATATAAAGAGAAATTAGTTGCTAAAAAAGACATACTAAAAAGGATGTACTTCTCAAATCTCGCAGTTTCTTCATTAATTTGTTTTCTCTAGAGTTACTCATCTAAAAATGATAATTTATTATTATTTTCAGATTTGAGAAGTATGTCCTTTTTAGCAACTAATTTCTCTTTATACTATTATACTATGAATATTAAATATACTATGAATTGAGACATGAGTGAATCAACTATCAAATAAATATGTCAATGTTTATTGTCTGTTTTTGGCTTAGTTTACACCGATTGTTTAGTACGCGTACCAAACTAAGCCATTCTGAATACATAAAATATTAAACAATTTTTATATGTTTTTAGATATAAGAAGCATGTAATATTATTCACAATATACAGTAAAATTGGTATTAAAAGTACTAGAATCAGACTTCATCACTATTAACACTATTAACACTATTCTCTGAGATATGTTCTTGAAGTAAAGCTGTATTGTCTTTTAACGTATCCAGTTGTGCAATGCTGCATCTGGTTTGATATAATTCACTTTCTACAGATTCTGTGCATGTTGTCTAAAAAAAAGAATTTAAGAAATGTATTTTTTTTTTAGAATATTCTTTGTTCATATATACTATGCTCTATATAACTTTCAATATTTACCACAGCTTCAATGAGTTTTGAGGAATCCACATTATTTTCCTCTGCATTATTAAGTGTCTTACAAGTCTCTCCTATGTTGTTTAAAAATTCAATCCCATCAATAAACATTGTTTTTACGTCTCTATAAAAAAGTATCAAAATTTTAGACCAACTCTAAAGAACAGAAGAATTCTTACGTACTGTGCACAATCATGTGAAACAGGTAAGCCTGAAATATCCTTTGAAGAATGTATAATTTTGTGGATAGAATGTTTGTGCGCTGTCATCGTATTGAGATGTTTTGTAATGTTCTCCTTGATATGTTCTCTTTCATCTATAAACAATTCAACATTGAAAACATAATGATTATCTTGTGCAGAATAACAATATAAAGAGAAATTAGTTGCTAAAAAGGACATACTTCTCAAGTCTCGCAATTTCTTCATTAATTTATTCTCTTTAGAGTGTTCCTCATCGAGACGGTCTAATTCATGTTGAGCAGCGAGTCTTTTCTGCTGCATAATCTTTATAAAACTTTCTATATTTTCCATACCAGAAAACATTATGGTAAAAAAATTCTTCCAAAGTTTAATCCGTTGCACTAATTATAATATATTATCTTTTTTATATATTATCAATGGCACTCAGTGACACTCAATAATACTTTCATCTGTTGAGTTCAAGTTTTCAAACTTCTATATATATGCGATATGAAAAGCAGAATGAACAACTCAAGAGTTATATTATTCCCCAAGCTTTATGACTTTACAATTTGTGTATTTAAAACAATAGCAAATATATATATGAATTTATTAACAAATATTGAAAGTTTCGAAATATGCTTTGCTTAAAAAAACATGATGGTTGTGACTAAATGTGGAACCAAAGAGAAGCCTGAGAGAGGCCATGCCATGGGTAGAACTATTTCCTAAATGGTGGTCATAGTGATAATTTCTAACCAACTTTTGAAGATTCTTGGACAAGAATATAACATAACCTTTTTTGATAACGTTTCAAAACAATAATTGATGGCACGTTAAATACACAATAAAAGAAAAAAGTTTCAAAACAATGTCTGCAGAAGAAAATTTTGAACAGGTTTAATCAATTTAAACGTTTTCTTTATATTGAAAGTCACTTTTCATATTCACTTTATAAAAAGCAAAGTTAAGAGCAAGTTAAATATATTTTAATAATGTAGGAATTTTTAAAAATATTTATTTTAATATTTAAATAATAATTAGAACGATAAATATTATAATTATTATAAGTAATTATCACAAATTTGTAAATATCTTGTAAATTTGTCTACTACGTAATTATGTTTGAATATTTTTCTAGTTCGAGGATGAAGAGGCAGAAATTCCTATCGGTGGGACTTTGCCTGGTGGAAGAAAACGTTTATTTTCCAAGGAACTGCGTTGTATGATGTATGGCTTTGGCGACGATCAAAATCCTTATACAGAAAGCGTTGATTTATTGGAAGATCTAGTTATTGAATTTATAACAGAAATGACACATAGAGCGATGGAAATTGGACGTACTGGACGAGTTCAAGTGGAAGATATTGTGTTTTTAGGTAATTTAAGATACATATAAATTTATACATATAGGATACATTTTTAAATATTTTAAACATATTTATACATATAAATGTTTTCTGTTTTACATAAGATTTATTGCTTATATTATACCTCTAGTTCATAAACTTGTTTATGTTTGCACAGTGAGAAAAGATCCCAGGAAATATGCCAGAGTGAAAGATCTTCTAACGATGAATGAAGAACTTAAAAAAGCAAGAAAGGCTTTTGATGAGGTGAAATATGCAGGTACTGTCAAAGATTGATACATACAATTGTAATGTTATATTCATCGAATGTGAAATGTTTCTAAATTTATATTAATCTATACTAAAATAATATCTTTAAATTAGCATGGGTAATTTGCAAGTAGTATTTGTTCGATATATACAATTTGTTTGATATATTTGGTATAACGGATCTGCATATATATGTCTTGAAAAAATCAAATATTTTAGATATATTTATTGCTGGACAATTATTTATTCACATTGCTTTATTTTGCAATAACATATGTAATTGCTTACAAGTAAAAACTTGTATACTATTATTTAGTGTAGATATGACAATCTTTTGACAAAAATTTTTATATTTTTAGATAAAGTGTAGATGTACCGAAATTCACAAATAAACACAGAATTAATAAAAAGAAAAATAAACTTATTTTTAACTAGATAATAAAATAAAACAAGTTTAGTATATATTTTTAAACTACTAATATATTGTAGTTGCATAATTGATAATATTCTGAATTGCAAAATATTCAAAGCACATCTTTCACTTGTTACAACTTATTAATCAAAAGGGAACAAATTTCTCCGATTAAATCTTAATTTAAAAACTACATTGTACTTCATTTACATATAAATAATCTTAATAAAATATTATATTGTATCATTTGATAGCAAAGTATTCTATGTATATTTATATAATATAAATACAACATTACAACAAAATATATTTCGCTACTCTATTTTCGTTTTCTACACAGTGAGATCGTCATTTAATATCAGCAATTTATTATTTTTCCTTGATTTAGTTCTGTTTGCATCGTTTCTGTACAGGTTTGCAAAGTTATATATTATTTTTCTGCATGGTGTGATTGTTATGTTTCAGCATGTATAATGTTTGCATGTAGTTTTATCGTTCGTTTTATTTGTTATGAGTTTCCTACATATGAATCTCTTGAGAAATTCCGCAACTATTTTACAATGTCACAAACGGCCTGTTTTGCTGACAGAATAACGTCGTTGAGTCCCACACCTTGGTAAGAAGAACCACACAGTCCCAGAGGAATACGGTTCGCGGAAATATAATCGTGGATACGTTTTACACGTTGGGTATGACCCACAACATGCTGTGGGATACAGTCTTTCAGAACAACAACGTTATGTGCCACTGGTTCTTTCGTGATACGTAAGATATCCTTCGTATGATCAATCGCCGTCATTAACAACTGCTCCTTTGTCGGATTCGGTCCAAAATATTTCTCAAACCATGCACCTCCCATCATTACGGTCAACACCTAAATCATAATATAAAATTTTGGTCATACATGTAAAAAGTTAAAAAAATATTTTGTGTTCTAAAATTTAATTCTCATAGTTTTGTATATATAAAAATAAAATTATAAAAAAAAATCAAGATTGGCTTGTAATACATAAATGAAGGAGTAAATGCCTCTAAACAGGAAATAAAATTGTTTTAAATCATTATACATACTGTAGAAGACTCCTGAGGAAATACGCAGGAGTCAAAAATCACGCCTAGCAGAGGAAGATTTTCTTTTGGAGGTATGAGGAAACCAAATGCCTGCAGAGGCAAAATGTCTCCCTGGAATTCAAGATTGACTACTCCTACTGTTACAGTAGGTATTGCCTTTAACTCCGCTGACAGTGTAGGATGTTGGTCCTGCACTAGTCCGGCTAAGTCTTTTGCACATAAACTCGAGATAACGCGTGAGCATTCCTGAATACCACCGTTAACCAATAACTCTACATGATCTGATTTAAACGTTAATTTTTCACATTTTTTTTTAGTTTGTACTTTTACTCCTCGTTTTTTTAAATTTTCAGCTAATGCCTGAGGTAGTTGTTCTAATCCACCCTGCAAGCTCCATAGTGCCCAGTTTTCTTTTTGAGCTCTGTCTGCTAAAGTCCGATTTAAACTCACAGAATCAAGATTGTCATTTTTCTTTATTGCATTATGTTTTGACTTTGAAAAGATTTTCTTCAGTTGCTCTGCCAATATACCCTTTATTATAGAACCATGTTTCTGCTCTGCCTCAAATAGAGACTTCAATAAAAAATTGACGCTTATCTTGCGCGCATCTCCGGCACAAATTCCACAGATCATTGGGCTAATCAGTTTATCAGCAATGTCTTGGCCAAATCTTCTCTGAATAAAACTATAAATACTTTCATCTTCTTTGAATACTTTGGGAGCTCTCAAGTCTGTCCACACACAGTTTATCAAGGGACGATCTAGCAACGAAGTTGTTTTGAAGATGCCTTTTAACGAAGTTGGTAATAGATGCAGTGCCTCATCTGTGTAAATTAATCTATTTCGCGATGCAGGATGACTTGACGTGATACGAATTAATTTATCATTCAATTGGAGATCCTCCACTAAGTTAAGAGTATTTTTGCCAGCTAATCCAGTTGGCCTAACAGTTCTTGGTCCTTGTTCAAAAATTGCCCCGCTTGGTGAACTTTTACTCCGTATCCATCCTCCCACACGATTAGAAGCTTCTAATAAAATAATAGAAGCAATTTTTGCATCATTAGCAGCATAATAAGCTGCTGATAAACCTGACATACCACCTCCTAGTATTATTGTCATTTTAATGTCTATTGTCCAATAAATACTATATCTGTCTTAATCAATAAGTTTTTTGCTAGCACACTATATTATACAATTAATATCTTAAATGTTTACATATACCTATGCTGTTAAATTTTATATATTATTAAAATTAACTTATTCTTATATACAGATAAATATAGTTTTATTTGTAAATAAAACGGATAAATGCTAAATTTTTTTTGCAAATATATAATAATTTGTAAAGATAAATAACATAATGCACAATAAAACTTGAATATTTTAATACTATTTGAGCTGTGTTATAAACTTTAACAAATATCACTAATATAACTGTAGATAACAGTAATCTCCAGGTTATATTCTGTAGACGAACACGTTTTCTACAATATTAAATATATTCACAAAAATGTAACAGTTATGCAATTGTAGATGATTGTAGACACAAACTTCTTGGCGGTGTTTACACGATTTACACAGTGACGCCAGGTTTAAGATGCAAACTAAATGGTTTGCGTCTTAACTAAAAATGGTTCGAATCTTGATTTAAATGGTTTGAGTCTTGGCCATGAATGTAAGAATATATGGAGCAGAGCATGGACCTCAGTATTCCAATATGGGACCGGTTGTATTCGCATGTGCGGCAATACGGCGTCGGTACGGTGTCTTATACGAGTTAAACAAGGCACCGTTACCCCGCTACATTAAAAATATTTCAAAATTTTTTTAAATTGATTGAAATTTTCTACTTCTTGGTTTTTTAGCTGCTGGCTCCGTAGATTCCATGCTTGTAAAATAAATAAATAAATAAATAAATCTTACCTTATTTGTAGTCACCTAACCTCCTCATGTCAAAACGTCCCGCCATACGGTCAATAACTGCATATGCATAGCAGAAGACCGTCTCGACCAATGAGCATGCTATGTAAATCAATATGGCGCCTTTATGCTAGATGTTCATTGGTCGAGACGGTCTTATGCTATGCATATGCAGTTATGTCATTTTTAGCGTTTTCGATTATACAGGATTTGAACGACCCAGGGTTGGTTAATGACGTCATTGCAACCTCTCCACCAATGAAAGACTTGCATTTATAGTAAAATAGTGATTGATCAACCCTGGGTCGTTCAAATCCTGTATAATCGAAAACGCTATTTGTGTGTGATGGCCTTAAACGCAGTGGATGCGCTAACCGCTGCATAAACGAATGCACCCCAAGATCTATAGAGAGAAGGTTACCTCACGCACAAAGAGGGACGAGCGGCAAGAGGGGTAAATGCTGAGCGGGGCGAGTGGCAAGAGGGGCAATAATGATCTCATCGGTAAACAGAAGTTATCTCAGACAGCTACTGTTTGTCGATGAGATCATCATGCTCCCCCCTTACTTCATCGTCCCTCGCCCACAACCGGTTTTCCTGAGATAACCTTCTCTTTATAGATCTTGACTCTTGAATCACACTGACTCCCCTTGCTTTTTCGGCGAGTGGTTTCGTGGCACACTGGTGGTACTCGTTCAACGTTTTCGAACGATTCACCCGAATGCACATTAAGTACCACTAACGTGTTTCCGAACGGTTATTGTGTGTTGGTGTGCACACAGTGTGTGTTTCCGAACACAGCCTAGAGCGATAAGTGGTCTTATCGGCGAGGGGGGTAAGCGGTAGAAGGAAATCATGCAGCGGCATGTTGGCCAACTAGAAAAATGATGGTGTTGTTAACTTAATCTTGGCTTGGCGCTTGCGTAATGAATAATATTCATATATTATAAATTCCGCGCTCGTTTAGTTACACGGGTTACCCATAGTCGCCATCTTGGTCGGCTAGTTTTTCCCTGTCCCTCTGGCTTCAATCCCGCTGGTTATC